ATGACCATCAATAATGCGTTAAAAAATTGGAAGAAGACGATAGGTTGCGAAATTGAATGAATAAGAGTGTAATTTACAATTTCTAGGAATTATGAAGGGTGTTTTATGCTATTTGAAAACAGCTGGCAGAAACCCAATTTCACAAAATTATCGGACCATCGCAGAACCTGTCACATATGCTTCTTTGACAATTGCTTGATTAGATTCCACGTCTTAGATTTAGATATCTACAAATCATGCTTTTTATGATTGCTAAAGAGACGGTGATGATACGTATATTAGAATTAACCTGAATGAATGCTTCATAGTTCATAGAGGTCATAGAAATATATAAGCTATACCCAGCGTTTCTCGATCTATGGCTTGCAGGCCACCCTCCAGTGGATCGTGACCAAGTTACAGTCCCTATAAATCGATGCAGATGCATGGTAGTCTAGTCCCATAGGAGTATTGAGCGAAAACCCAAAACTTGGTAACTTCAAAAAAATATAACTCAAAAACGGAAAAAAAACGCATCGCTGAAATTGTGATAAAATGTGTAAAAAAAAAGCCCTAATTTTCAAGGAAAAATATAAAAACATATTGCGGCCTCTATCTACAAACCATGAAAACAAATACAATAAATGTTTTTCAAAACAAAATCAATTTTTTTTTTTTTTAATAAATAGATGTTTATAAAAAAAAATATATTTTTAACTACCTTTCATTTAATTTTTTTTCAAAAGAGTCATTTAAAAAAACATAGATATTTTGGACCACTCTAATAATGACAAAATAAAAAATACGGGTTTAATATGTTGCCTTAAGGAACAAAACTATCAATTATTACGAAATTCTGGCTGTATAAGGACAGTTTACAATACACAAAGTGACATTTTTAGCTATCCATTGTACTTTATTATCGGCAAAAAATTATTTTAAAATCGTAAAATACGTCAGATATCATTGATAAACATAATAAACAAAAGAAGCACTAATACACGTCGCCCGTGAGGCATCCAAATTATTCGTCACGTGACGTGACCTGAAGCCAAACTGTTTTTTTTTAATTGCAGAAATTTACGGGCACAATAAAAACTAACCAAAGTAACCATTCGTTAACCTCGGGTAAGCCACGAGTATTTGGCCCACCCCGTACTTGACATAGAATTATTTCTAATGAATTTTGTTACAAACAATGAACAATGACTTATCGGCTCCGTAACACAAACATGATTGAGCTTTCCAAATAAACGAACTAGATAAACCATTCGTTAACAGTGTTTTACAATTCTTTGCAATTATAGTTTCGTTTTATTTTCACATACGGATTAATTAATCAATGATAAATATAAGTTTACAAATTTTTAATTCTATACTGAAAAATGTGATGTATGCGAAATATTTTCCGAGAGGCAAATAAATGAAGTGTGGAAAAATAAACCGTGATAAAAACCGAACTTCACTGTACTATAATGGATTTCAATATACAGTGGCATTTCGGTTTTATTAAAGCCCGATTCAACGTAAATTTGGACGCATTCAAGTGATCATAACTCAAGAATTAAACAACATACTCGGTTGATCAAAACGTCAAACAAAAGGGTATTTACTCAGCTTTCAAACGATATAAAACAAGTTATTACATTTCACCGTTTCGAACGAACTGTCGCACTTTACTTGTGATCGATGCCATCATGATCTGCACAGTCGCTGGTGACACTGTACCGGCGAACTTATTCCACTTTAAACGCATTTGTTGTGCATTTGTCACTTCTTTACCGCATCCTTGAAGTTTTCGCTTGACAATTGCACAATATTTTTCGATCGGTCTGAACTCAGGGCAATTAGGATGATTATTCTCTTTGGCGACGAAATTAACATTGTTTGCAGCATACCATTCTAGTAACTCCTTAGAGTAGTGGCAGCTGTCTAGATCCGGCCAAAACATAACGTTGGGCTTGTGTTGCAGAATGAAGGGTAAAATCCGCCTTTTCAGACACTCTTTAATGTAAACCTTCGACGTCATTGTGTGAGATGTGATGAAAACCTTGGCCTTAAACACAACTGCAGATTCCTTGCCAAATCATTAGTTTCCGAGCAAACTTATCAGCAAAAACAAATTTATACCTGGAAGCAGGGGTTGAAACAGTTGACGTTTTTGACTACACTCGCTTCGTTGTCGTGCGCGACAGTCTGTTTGTATTCGAACACTCATGCTCTACCGTCGTCTCTCTCACACAACACGAGCGGTAGAATAACATTCGAGCTAAAAGAAAATGATCAAAATAGCTATCATATGACATGTGTGATTTCGTTGTAATTCCTCAATTTGGTGTAAATCAAACCTTTTCTGATCACAAATATTATTACTAGGACATCATTGCTTGCTATTTTCAGAATTCACACAAGCACACCATCAGCAGCTCTTATTATGAGAACAACTAAAATACATACATTCGTGACGGTCTTCGGCGACAGTGTCGTATGACAGAGCCTGTCATACGACATTTTAGTTTGGTACTGTACTATGATAGCTTATTTTGCAAGTATCGGAGGCAAAGGCAGTCAATTATCACGGTCGACTACCGTGACCACTTACAAGACTGCCTGGAAGGGACATCCTCACGACCAGTTTCCAGGTATTTTTTTCGTCCGGGGATTTGTTTATAATCCATTTTGACATATGTTTCGTCATCCATTAAAATACAGCCATCAAATTTCGTCAAAACTCGTTCGTATAGTAATCGTGCTCGCCTTTTGATCACTAAATTTTGTTTCAGGGAGCGATTCGGATGTTTACTGGCACAAAAAGACTAATATCCTTCTCTTAAAAGGATGTTACGCACGGTGGAAAAGTTGTAATCGTATTTCTTTGCTAAATCACGTATGGAGATACCTGGGTTGCCTTTCACGTACCTCAACACCTTTCTCCTCAGCTCTTTGTCACTATTGCCACTTTTAAGATACATGCGCTGTGCTCTGTACACACTCAGAGTATCCTTGTAACGTTGGATTACAAGACTCACCGTTGACTTTGGGAATTTTAACACTTTTGCTATTTTTGAGGCAGACCACGAAGGGTCCTCTAGATGTTTGTGCACAGTTAATTTTCTTTTCTCAAGTTCCATGATCCGTAATTTCGGGATGCGTTCTTCGTCAATAAAACATCAACAAATGCCTGTCAAACGTTTTTTGTTCCAAACACCAGGGGCGCGGTGGTGTATTAAACCGTGCGTCCAGATTTATTTTGAATCGAGCTTTACGGTTCGTTTTTTCACACTCCGTTCATATCACTCTCGGGGCCACCCTTAGCTCAGTCGGTAAAGGCGCAGCTACAAAGCAAGACCATGCTGGAGGTGGCTGAGTTCGATTCCCGGTACGGTCTAGACATTTTTCGGGTTGGAAAATTTCTCGTCATAGCTGGGCATCGAGTATGATTGTACTTGCCACACAATTATACTAATGGAAAAATGGTACAGGAATCGAAAGCTCTCAATTAAAAACTGTGGAAGTAATAAGTAATAAGCTTAAATTCGAAGAAAAAGAAGAAGAAGTCATATCACTCTCGGTTTTTTCACGAAAAGTGTTTCGAATATATTGCGTTTTTCAGCATTGAATAATTTATTTGAAAACATATATTTATCATTGATTTATTAGACCACATATATTATATATTACCAATGCATAGTAAAACATCTTTAGCGAATTCTTACGATGAATAATTGGTATTGCATTGAACTGGTTTGAAAGCTATTTGCGTTACTAAGTCCGGCGAGGAATAACTTTTACATTCATCTGAAAATTGTGTCAGGGCTTCTTTTAATTATTATGTATGTCAATTACAAATAAACGCATTTCACGATTTTGCGATACATTATGCCGATGATAGCAATGGAAGATGTCATTGCAAACTTTTTTAATACCGAACCTGCAAAATGTGTGTCGATGCTGTGACCCCTTCATGACTGTCGTGTTTTCAAGAAGCGAGCTTGATCACGGCATCGACACGCGTTTTGAAAGTTTGGTATTTGGAAGTGAATATTTGATTTGATTTTAATGTGTCTAAGCGTATGTTTAACGTAGAACTTTGAGCTTGGCATAAGTTAGCAGTCTGTAAGATTGTTCTTTAAAATTAAAGACAGTGAAATAAATAAACTAATTTAAAATATGCCAATTTAAAGAAGCATAAATTTACTGCAAATCAGTAATGCTAACGAACAATGCAAATATTACCCTTCACAGTTTCAAATCCTAAAAGATACGAACCAACACAGCTTCAAACGCTACTAATAAAACAATAATTATGTAACCTCCACTTTGAACTTAACTACGTGCACCTGACAGCCCTGAAGGGCCCTGGATGCCACACCTACCGGAGGAGTTGTTGTGTAAGTGCACGTCAAATTCTATGTGCCCACTACTCGTTGACATCAGCTCACCCACACAACACATCACCAGCATCAGCCACTTGCCATACGTTTGTTGATTGCATTCTATCATACGAAACTCGTGCGCTAATCTCTCCCTACAGGGCACACAGCAATATTCATCACATTTGTCTAATGAAGTGCATCAAATTGAATTTACCGTACTCGTGTGCGCTAGCTGAAGTCACCACGGCTGCCGCATTGGGTGCATGCATATGGCATATACATCACCGCACACAAGTTGCGGCATTGTACGCGAATCAAAGCTTTCTCGGCGCGTCAGTTGATGGATTTTGACTGGACTTCAGGTCAGGTTGACAAACAGGAACGCTTCACATTTATGCACCGCTTTTAGTTCCAAATAGGAAAGATCTCTCCCACGTTCCCACAGTCGCCGCATTCGCCACGGGGCACTTGAAACAAATAAAGTCAGTCATTCACTCTTTCTTCTTACATTGCCCCTTTTCTGCCTTCCATATTGCATTCGCTGATGGTGTCTTATTTGATCGCTCGTGGCTTTAGCCGGAGCAATGATTTCAATTAATTTCAATAATAATTCTCTTTCTTCTCTGTCTCCGAACCCATTTACAGATGTAACGGGCATCTCGCAAAAGTGGAACAAACTCCGCCGTCGCTGTGCATCGTTCAAAACAGTCTCCGGCCCAGCGTCACTCGATTCGGACACCAATTTTATTCTGGCCGAGCATCCGTCTCACTACCAAATAATCGCAGCCGGGCCGGTTCCGGTTCAAGTTCAACAGCAGGTGCAACATCATCAGGGGCACCATCACCATCACCACCACGGCCATCATCGACATCACCATCATCACCACCATCATCATCACGATCCTGAACGCCAGCTAGCCGATCAGACACACTACGGACATCTGCATGACCCGAACTGGGAGCTACGGCACTCCAGCTCCAGCTCAACGTCCACATCGTCCTCCACGATTGGTCCTCCACCAATCTACGCCGCGGAAGAGTACTGGCAAATCCACGAACGAGATGTAAAACTGTGGCGTCTCGGCGCCCACCAGACCTACGCCCACAGGATTCGAGTCACTCCGAACCAGCGTCGCAGCGCGCACAGTATCGACTGGGAGTACAACGTCCACAAGTACGAAAACATGGTCGAGCCAGCCCAAGTGTCCGCTGCTCGACTTTTCCGACACGAAAAGCTCCAGTACTACGATGAAGTGTCCAGTGTTACAAAGAAGAACTCCCTCGGTGCTAGTGAAAGTGAGAGTGGAATCAAAATTGCCAAAGAGATCAAACTGCCTAGTCTGAAGAATTTCAAATCGGCGTCCATGCGCCTTCCGGGACAAAAGTCGTCCATCAACGAAGTGCAACAGCTGCTTCGAAGTAAATTCAATCGAATTCACGCAGGTCTACGCAAGAGGCGAGCACTTTCCGTCCAAGAAGTGTTCCAAACGCCAGTACAGGTCACTCCAACGAAACCTACCTTCTACGTTCCGTCCCCGCTGGTCGGCGAACGGAGCCCTCACAATCCCTCCCGATACGAGGAGGAACCCAACGAAGATGAGGAAGGACCCGTTAGCTTACCATACATCAACGAAAACCTCCTAAAAGTTGATCAATCCGAAGTGCACCTCCGTGATCGGTCTCTCAGTCCACGAAAAGAACGAATCAAAACCTGGTACCGCAACATCGATCTCAGCGCTCCCGTTCGAAAGTCCGATCAGGACACACCCAAATCAAGCCAAACCAATAAAAATGGGAAACCATCCATTTCCGCTACCGAAGAGGATCAACCCGACACCGCCAAAGAGAAACCAAACTTCGTCATCGGAGGACGCGTATCGCTACGTGAGCGCGTCGAAAACATGAACCTCAACCGACTCCGATCGAAAACCTCCAGCGTCAACTCCTCGTCAGCTAGTCCGCTGCCGAAAAAGTCAACCGAACAGCGCAAGGCCCGTCCCCGTAGCCATTCCCCGCTGAAGAACATCAAGATCAATCTATCCAGCATCGGGATCGGTGGAACTACCAGCGAAGTGACACCGAAACCGAAGCGTGAGTCATTTGGCCTATTTGGCCGGCTGAACCGTATGATGCACGGTGGCAGTCCCTCGCCGGAAAAGTCCAACCGTTCAGCAGCGGTGACCGTAAATGGAGCTACCCCAGTGCGGCAGAAAACGGACAGTGGTAACGGTTCTGCTGCAAAGGCTGCCGGCAACCCGGCGTCCGTTAGCTATAGCGGCAATGTTAGTAAACAATCCACCATTCAGAAGCTGACGCAGCTAAGCAGTGGGAATCGACGGGACTCGGCAACCATCAAGGCGGAAGCGAACGGCAAGGAACGTGACCGGAAATCTAAGCAGGTATGTACGGCTGGAAGAAGGGGATTTGAGTATGGCGTGGAATATGATTTATGATTGCCTTAATGGGAAGTTGATGGGCTCTATGGGTTGTTGGACTGATAACGATTAGTGTTGTATTGAATCTCCAATTTGTGATGGAGCGTGATTCTCGTGATTGAGTAAAGCAATTTCTCCATTTTACAAGTATGATCCATTTTCCTCAATAGAAAGGTGGGGAATATTTCTAAAAAGTACACCGCCAATTTTGAGTGCATTTTTTTCTGAGTGTAATTTTTCTGCATGACTTTTTCGTCCAGAGGTTGAAGAGCAACATAAAATGAATATAGTTTTTCAATATTGTGGGCTATCTCTATCGCTTGTCCGAGGATACGATTTTCCGCCAGCGACGAGTTTCACGGCAACTGGACAACTTGTTGGCAGCACCCTTTCAGATTCCAATGAAACTTCGTGAATGTACAGACTTCGTCTACTTAAGCAGCAATGCATACTTTTTTTCTTTGAAAAAATCTGAGTACCATTTGAAAAGGGTTGAACTTTTTTTATTTTTTTTTTTTGTTTTGTAATTTGCAACCAAATTGCAGTAAAAATATACTCTAGTTCTAACGATACACCCAAAATATTCAATGTATTCAAATAATACATACATTTATTTGTACAACATCACATTTAAGAGAAGACATAATCAACAATAGTACGTCACAATACTCGGTTTGCGGCTGCCGCTCTCCATCCTCGGTCATGCCCAATGCTCGCTAGATCACGCTCTACCTGGTCCGCCCATCGTGCTCTCTGCGCTCCACGCCTTCTTGTGCCAACCGGATCAGTAGCGAACACCAACTTTGCAGGGTTGTTGTCCGGCAATCTTGCAACATGCCCTGCCCACCGCATCCTTCCGGCTTTGGCCACCTTCTGGATGCTGGGTTCGCCGTATAGTGCAGCGAGCTCGTGGTTCATTCTTCGCCACCACTCACCGTTTTCCTGCACACCGCCGAAGATCGTCCTTAGCACACGTCGCTCGAAAACTCCGAGTGCTTGCAGGTCCTCCTCGAGCATAGTCCATGTCTCGTGTCCATAGAGGACCACCGGTCTTATTAGCGTTCTGTACATGGTACATTTGGTGCAGGGGTGAATCTATTTTGACCGTAGTTTCTTCTGGAGCCCGTAGTAGGCACGACTTCCACTGATGATGCGCCTTCGTATTTCACGACTCACATTGTTGTCAGCCGTCAGTAACGATCCAAAAGGTAGACGAATTCCTCCACTACCTCGAAAGTATCCCCGTCTATCGTGACATTACTTCCTAGACGAATCCTGTCATGTTCGGTTCCGCCTACTAGCATGTACTTTGTTTTTGACGCACTCACCACCAGTCCGACCTTTGCTGCTTCGTGTTTCAGGCGGGTGTATAGTTCTGCCGCCGTTCCAAATGTTCTTGCGATAATGTCCATGTCGTTCGCAAAGTACACAAATTGACCGGATTTCGTGAAAATCGTACCCCGGCTGTTGAGCCCGGCTCGTCGCACTACACCTTCTAGAGCTATCCAGTTCATTCGAATCTCGCCGGGGACTGCGACAAGGTGACGGACTCTCATGCGTACTCTTCAAACCCTTACGCAGTTTTTCACACCGTCCATCGTTGCTTTGATCAGTCTGATCAGCTTCCCAGGAAAGCCGTTCTCGTTCATCATGATTTTCCATAGCTCTGTGCGGTCGATACTGTCGTATGCCGCCTTAAAGTCGATGAACAATTGATGCGTTGGGACCTGGTATTCACGGCATTTCTGGAGGATTTGCCGTACTGTGAAGATCTGGTCCATTGCCGATCGGCCGTCAATGAAGCCGGCTTGATAACTTCGCACGAACTCGGTCATTTTAGGTGATAGACGACGGAAGATGATCTGGGATAGCACTTTGTAGGCGGCATTCAAAATTATGATCGCTCTGAAGTTCTCACATTCCAAATGGTCGCCGTTCTTGTGAATGGGGCAGATTACCCCCTCCTTCCACTCCTCCGGTAGCTGTTCTGTTTCCCAGATCCTGACTATCATCCGGTGCAGGCAGGTGGCCAACTTTTCTGGGCCCATCTTGATGAGTTCGGCTGCGATACCATCCTTACCAGCTGTTTTTGAACTGCTGAATGGCATCCTTAACTTCCCTCAGCGTGGGAGTTGGGTCAGTTCCGACCTCTGCTGCACTGACGTAGTCGTTTCCTCCATTGCACTGGTTTCCCGTGCCTACGTTCTCCTCGCCATGCAGGTGCGCATCGAAGTGCTGCTTCCACCTTTCAATCACCTCACGTCCGTCCGTCAAGAGGCTCCCGTCCTTATCCTTGCACATTTCGGCTCGCGGCACGAAGCCGTTGCGGGATGCGTTGAGCTTCTGGTAGAACTTCCGTGTTTCTTGGGAACGGCACAGCAATTCCATTTCCTCGCACTCTGCTTCTTCCAGGCGGCGTTTTTTACCGTTCTAAGTTCTGTCGGGTTCCATGCTGCAGCATTACCACTCGCGCTGCGTTCTTCTCCTCCAAAATCGCTCTGCACTCCTCGTCGAACCATTCATTGCGTCGACTTCTTTCCACGTACCCGATGATGCTCTCGGCTGCGTCGGTGATGGCTGCTTTTACTGTACACCAGCAGTCTTCTAGAGGGGGCACATCGAGCTCGTCCTCCTCTGGCAACGCTGCCTCGATATTCTGCGCGTATGCTAAGGCGACATCCGGTTGCTTCAGTCGCTCTAGGTTGTACCGTGGCGGGCGTCGGTACCGTACATTGTTGATGACGGAAAGTTTTGAGTGCAGTTTGACCATCGCCTGGTAGTGGTCAGAGTCGATGTTAGCGCCACGATAGGTCCTGACGTCGATAATGTCGGAGAAGTGCCGCCCATCAATCAGAACGTGGTCGATTTGCGATTCCGCTGCTGTGGTGATCTACAGGTGTAACGATAAGGGAGGCTGTGTTGAAAAAAGGTGCTACGGCCATGTTCTTGGAGGCGGCGAAATCGATGAGTCGTAGGCCGTTCCCGTTCGTCAGCTGGCGGGCGCTGAACTTTCCAATCGTCGGTTTGAATTCCTCCTCCTGGCCTACCTGAGCGTGTAGGTCTCCTATGATGATCTTGACTTCGTATGCTTTTTCTGCTGGACAGATTCGAGGCAAGTGTGTGCGTCGTTCTACAATGTTCTACAATGTGCGTTGTTCTACAAGCTTACTGGTATAGTCGAAAGCGTAGATAGAACACGAAATAATAAACACGAAAAACCATTACATCGCTTGCATGGTCAATTTCTACCATTCGTTGCGATGTTCATGAACAGAGGATGATAGGAAACGGAACTAACATTCATTGTAATAGATTTTTGGTTTGCGTGTGGTAGATGGTATGATTACCTCTAAAAGTTCGCACCATTGATCCTGTCCAACACACCTCCTGCAGCGCTACGATGCCGAATCCGCGGTCCTTCAGTAGATTGGCGAGTATTCGGGTGCTCCCGATGAAATTGAGGGATCGACAGTTCCACGTGCCGAGTTTCCAATCGCAAGTCCTATTTCGTCGCTGAGATCGTTGCCGTTGATCTCGGTTCGTATTCCTCTGTTGCTGATTTTCCGTTGCAATGCTTTTTTACGGCTGGCTCGCAGGGCCTGACACCAACCCCCTAACTTTCAGGAGGACCAGGGTGCACAGTTGTGCTTAGAGTCCTTCACTAGCGCTCGGACGTTGATCAGCCGCCCCTAACATGGGGAACAGACGCTGTTGTGAGCCACTCCTCCTGGAGAACAGACGCTCAGACTTGCCGAAGCAAACCCCCCTTCCCTGTCAGCCTATGAACAAAGTTCCCACCGGGGTTGGCTACCCGATCTTCCCTAAGGTTGCTCACAGTTATACAAATCTTTAATTTGACAACATCAACGTGTTTCTCTTCCGCTGCATCTAAATAGAAACGGGTAAGTATGACAGTTACCATATCTGAGAATGAATTTGTTTGTTTTTTAAATTTAAAATCATAGAAAAAACATCCCGTTGCTGGACATCAAGACTAACATTTGAAAATGGTATAAAATGTTGAAAATTATTATTACTTAGTTGAAGATGCTAATTTCAAATAACAGACTGTAGTGGTAATTTTTATACGATAGATGGAGTAGATGAAAGCATAGAGTTGATAGTTCCGTTAGAGTACGGCAGTGTGAAGATTGCATATAGATATTAGAATAGCGAGCTAGGACAACTTTTAAGGAAGGTACAAATCGGTTTTTTCATCTCTCTTTACCAAACTCCCCCTTTGGAGAGGGATGGTGAGGGGTGCCCCCCCCCCCCACCACCACTGGCAAAAAGAGATGAAAACCGACCGCTACCGCACTTCAGTTGTTATTTGAAGGAAGGCATCCAGTCGTAGGTTTGGAAATTGCTACTATTGTTGCAACTATTATTATTAATTCACATTAACTTGAGAACGACTAGATAATCGAGATAATCAACGTTCTACGTTTTTTTTTAATAATTTACGATTTTTTTTATTTAAGTGTATTTTTCTTTAAAGATAATTTAACTACCTACAACTTCTTTCCAGAAGTTATTTTGATCAGATTAAAAATTTTCATGTTATGATTTTTTGATACTTGATAAATTTTTATAATACGCCCTTTTTAAAAGTCACTGTGTAGAAAAAAATCATATTTAAATGAAAAATGCAACCATTGATAGCAGCGAACATGTGAGCAAAGTTTCATTCAAATCGGAAAGGGTCGAGACAAAATTGACATATTTTTCAGCGTTTTGTGCTGGAAATGCTCTCCAGGAACTACACTAGAGTAAATATCTATCTACTTGTTTGTGTTGTTAGTTTACGAGGGTGAGCATTAATTCGCAAGAAACAGGCGATCGAAAAACAGTCTTGCACAAATCTCAAATCACTCCGGAAGTCCCTTGAAGCCATCCTCAGATTTAGATACTCTTTAATTTTTGTATCACAATTTATATGAAATTCTTGGCAGGGTGCCTTCGGA